AACCAAAACGTCACATCAAAACCTGTGTGTGTGTGTGTGTGTGTGTGTGTGTGTGTGTGTGTGTGTGTGTGTGTGTGTGTGTGTGTGTGTGCGTGTGTGTGTGTTTGTAAAAGGCAAATGCCTACGCACTATTTCGTTCAAAGAAAGTTGCATAATTATTGTGAAAGGAAGGTTGGGTTGTAGTTTGAGGGTACTATTGTTACAGAGGATAATAGTGACAATGGTGACTTGGAAAAAAAAGGCTGTAGAGCCCACACTCATTCTATTGGGGAGAGAGAATTGATGGAATGGGATGTGGTGTGAAACTGTTGGTAACTCTCCTCAAATGCAAACGTTTTTTTTTAAATCTCAAGATGAGCTCTCGCTAGTATTTACATCACTTCGACAAACTCCTGGGTACTTTGTCGCTCGGTTCCATTCCAACTTCTGTCTTATCAAATATGTCCTATGCAAGTTTACAAGATTTGATTATTTAGTTTTATGTAGTCTTGCTGACGAGAGAAAGAAACATTATGAAATGGTCAAAAAATGGAGAGATAACTTCATGCTTATGCCAGATAGCTTTGATCAATGATCCCTTGGTCACTGATTGTGCTTAACAAACAGAAAAACGTCAATCTGAGACTCAAACTGTACTCGTTTGCACAGAATCTCTCTCCTTACCTCTTTGCTATTCCATTTCCTTAGAGCTTGAGCTTGCTTTAGTTTTAACATCTGTTTTTAATCGACCCATGCCATTACCCTTGATATTTAGCACTTGGAATACATTTGTTAACTTCCATCTCAGATAGCCTAAGGCAGAGAGCTGTTTAGGGTCAGACTAAACTTCTAATCGATTTGAGCGTGACTACAACGATGTATTCAAGTATTTTCATTGAACGGCCTTTGCAAAGAACAATCTGCAAATAAAGACATACGACCTTGGGTGGTCGAATGCACGGCTGCTGAGGTTAAATGGTGGCTCTGAATCACATCGATTTAAATGTTTAAAAAAAAGAAAGACGCACAAGCTTCTGGAGTAAGAGAAGTGCTTTCTTTATTCTCTATCGGACTCTTAGACTCTCTATGTAAGAAGGCAGACTCTACAGTAGTCACGAGATGTTTCTTAGCCCATACATAGTGTCAGCCGGATTGGTTTTGTTTGATCTCGAGCTTTTTTGTACATAACCTCCTTTTTGAATGGTTATACAAGTGCTGACATTTTATTGATTATATATTCTACTATTGTGGGACGTTCCCTTTATTTCCCTCTTTATTTCCGTTTTCTTCACGGCCTTGGAGCTGTCTGTCCTGGACACAGTAGTGTTCGTTTGTTGCCATGAACTCATCGAAAAGACAGAAGATCAATGTTTCTTTCTTCTTGATCAAGAGTATTTCTGCCGACAAAACAACCCTACGTAAAACTAATTTCCTTTTTAAACAGGCATACGCTGAAGCTGCTTTCTTTTCTGGGAAGCTGGAACTGCACTGAATAGTAAATGTTGTACTCCTTTGTATATTAATTATGGAGAACGCAGTGAACTCAATTGGTATCATGCTGGACTACAGTGCAGGTGACCCTGGGTTCACTTGTCAAATTAGGCTTTCAAAACTTTTATTTTGTCAGTTGTCAGTTTTAAAAACTCTCCTTGCTCAGCTTGGTCCTACCGGAGATGCAGTGTTAAAAAATGCGTTCAATACATAGTATAAAATATAAATTCACATGGTGGAAGATAGTGATGTACCTACTTCGGTCCCTAAAAGTTGAAATAAGTATGTGTTTAGTTGTTTGATGGTTTGTTTGTTTGTTTGTTTTTTGTTTTTGTTTTTGTCTTTTTTTGGGGGGGGGGAGGGGGGGGTTCTAAGTCTATAACTGCCCCTACTCCCTAAAAAGATTATAATCCTTTAAATCTTTTGAAAAGTTGCCCTTAACTTACGTTTTAATCACTTTTGGGTGTCTCTGCCTTCTGTTTCTTTCTTCCTTCTTTTCCAATTTTACTTTCCCGTCCCTGAAATGACACACCTGTGTAATTATGTACTATTATTTACACAAAGTGTTATGATTTTTAAAAAAAACACTATACGTCGCTGATAAAGTTATTTCTTTGTTATTTTCCAGAAGCGACCAGTGTCGCCACTACCTACGACTGCAAATACATCGAGACGTCAGTCGTGCTCAATCACAACGTGGACGAGTTGCTCGTGGGCGTGGTCTCACAGATCCGACTCAAAGCCACACCCTCCAAAAAGTCTTCGGCCCACGGGGAGTCCAGCTGCTACGCCAGGAGCAAACACCTGCTCAACAAAATCTTCAAAAAGGACGCTCTTTCTAAGTCTTGTGAAAACTTGTACGTGCTTTAATCGGAGACTTCTTAGGACGACTGTCCGCTGCTGTCGCCTCTTGCCGTAGTCGCAAAATACTGCCATTCTTCAACGAGAATTTTCAACAACAGTAGAAGAGTAAAAGTGTGTGTGGGTTTATAGCCGCTATCAACACTATTAGGTTACTGAAGAGGAGGGACCTCCGATGAGTTTGAAGTTCGTCTCCGATAGGGTCGAGCAATATGGGTTGAGAGCCTTGAAAACTCTACAAAACGACCCGGGTTCACGAACACTCAGTTTTGGATTCGAACCACGGCCATCCGCTCTGAAGTCTTACATGACACCAACTGAGCTAACAGTTGAAGAGAAAGATTAACCCCAGGACGTCAGTCGCTTCATGAGAGTCAGAATCTGACATTCTGTTACGAAATATGATGTGTACGTAACTGCCTTGTTAATTAAAGTCGCGTAGATGGTCTTGGCGACAGGATGTTCACGAATCCAGTTATTCTGTTAACTGCTTTGTGAATATACTTCCATTTGTCATCAGTTGTCAAAGACACGTGTGACTTACACTGTCTATAGAGAACTTTGGGGGTTTTAATATCTTGTTTGCTGACTGCTGAAATCCTCTTTGAGCCTCACCTTCAAACTTAGACATCCCTGACTGTCTATAGATCGAGTTGAGGTCAACCTTTACATTGATTACTCCTTTATAACAGTCAGTTCCATCATCATCACCATAAAGTGTCAAAACTGAAATATTGGCAATCACAGTTCGTTATTCATTTCTTTGCTCGGTTGATCTAAAAGAAAAAAAACTATACATTATTTCCTGGTCTTTCGCCGTCACTCATTATTATGTTCAGGTTTTCTGAGTAAGTTGCTTTGGGTTACCGCCCCTGCTTCCTTTGCCTTTTTTCCAGCTCGAGAAAAATGCTCAAGACCTTTATGTCGTTTCAAGCGTCCCAGACATTGCATTTGCCTCTTCCTAACTGTTTGATTAGTAAGCGGCTCACTCGGACTTCTTTCACCACTACCTCGTTTTGATTTCTTTTCCCTCTTTGAAATTCTGAACTTTTGTTGTTTCTATTTTATTTTCACTGTTTTCGGTAAATTATTATTCAACATTCATTCTGACGTCTCCGTTTTTCAAGATTGGGCTCACTTTTATTGAAACTGTCTGTGGCTATGGCAATTTTTCGTTTTATTTCTGTGGAACATTTGACATACGATGTATTTATAAATATATTTTAGACATTTAACACGTTGAACTTGTTTGATCTTTAAACTTTGCTTAGGAGATCATCAACTGGGTTGACTAATTTATTTATTTTGTAAAATATTTCCACGCATATTGTTTTTTTCACATTCGGCATTACCCGTTTACTTTCACTTTCTGTCACAACAGTATCAAGAAGATATGCGCATAAAACCGAATTACCACTCTCAAACATTTAAATTATTACGGGTGTTTAAAAATGTTGCTTTTGTTTGTTTGGGTTTTTTTGGTTTTATTTTGTTTTTTCCTTTTGGAGGGGGTGGGGAATCAAATAATTACAAACATTTAGGAACCCAAAACATAAGCCCCAAGCATGCACAATGAAAAGCAGAATAATTAGTGAACCAACCGATGAAGTAACTTATTTTCCCTGAGCCAGCATGGCAAGATTAAATTTCTCCATCAAATCCATTTTTTGTGGTTCTCTTTGCTTAGATATGGGAGTGTCTCCGACTAAAACGGTGTACTTCTGCGTTTGCCC